CCTGGCAATTTAGCAGTCAGCTCTGGTAATCAAAATCTCAGCCGGCAATGAGAATCGTTTTCTATATTAAGTTTAAAATTTAATTTACTGCATGTGCTTCAACTGTTGCCAAAACCCCAAACCCATTCCCGATCTCCGCCAGGCATGCCAAGTGTGTAAACTTTCAAATTAAAGCGCTCCGAATCCTTTGGCCAAGCAGTCGACACAACTCTTCAGATACTTCTACTGCGGCCAAGTGGCCAGCTGCATATGACATTGGGTGTAACCGGAAATGTGCAACAGAAAAACTTGCAAATGAAATTTTAATTGCTTTAATTATTTTGTTATTGGTAAATTGGCCAAAATGCACAAAAACTCTGCTGGCCAACTGTTTGCAATGCTGCTGGAATATCTTCAGCAAATTGGTCAAATCTAATCAACGATAAGTCTATTAATATAATTGAGATTTAGTTTTGTATATTTGCAAGACATACATATTTTATTTATTTAACACAGTCATCAAATATTATTAAATTAAAAGTTATGCAATTTGTCAACACTAAGTTCTGTGCAAGTTAACTTTGTCGATTAAAAATTAAATATATATTAAAAGTAAAAGATGCCTTGGAGATGTCACACGAAAAATATTTGTGCACTCAAGAGGAGTGTTCGCCTAATGGAATTGAACTGATTTATAAATTGAACCATTGGACATTGAATAAAAAATAGTTTTAGAGACTATGTTCGGCCTGGATAGGAGTATACATTAGAAAAGATTTTACAGTATCTGTATTTGAACCGAATAAAATGTGATTTTTATACAGTAACTTAGTTAATGCCAATTGTTCCATTGTGGGTTATATTATACCGTTGCCCAGTTTAAATACATTTTTACTAAATATTACAAAATAATAATACAACTTTTGATTACGGAGTTTAATCAAGTTTTATTTAGCAACAAGCCGAATGACACGAAAAAATCTTATGATTTTAATGAAAGATGGTGCCATATTTTGATAATATTTTCTGTTCTCTAAATATTTGTGAATAAAAACATTTTTCGTACGCAAATATTAATTTAAATTACATTTTGCGCACCGTTGCATGTAAATATTGAGGCTAAAATTGAGAGAATTTGCCTGTTTCTGAATGGGAAGATGGAAGGATTTGAAAGCCTTTGTGGTATCTGTTAAGTTAGTGTGAGGAGTTGATAGCGCAAGGGAAGGGCATGTTGTAAGATAAACTGAGAAACCAGTGTGCATAAATAAAGATGGATAATCAATTATAAGAATTTATTAAATATTTATTTATTCTTATACCCTGTAGAGGATATGAATATTTTGTCTTGAAATGTGTAATGCATAGAAGAAGACAGTTCAGCCGAGTTGATATAGCCATGTCTGTCTGTCCACCTGTCTTTTTCTATGCGAACTTGTCTCTCAGTTTCGGAAGCTTTCCCCATGAAACATTGCATAGGTCCATCTTTCTATTGCAGGCTGCACATATGTCGAAACCTGCCGGAACGGACCACTATATCATATAGCTGCCATAGGAACGTTCGGCCCAAAGTATAAAAACCCTTTTGTGTTTATCAAGATATCTTACCCAAACTCGGCATTTATAAGTTTCACTATGCTACCTATCTATTTGCAAAATCTTATCAAATTTGGTTATTGGTCGAAAAGTTGGTTCAAAAATGGAACATTTTTTTTATGTTAAGATTACCTGAACAAACTTGGGATTTACTAGTACCATTATGATTCTCCTATATATGCGAGATCTTCTCAACATTGGATAACTATATCATATAGCTGCTATAGGTAAGATCGGTGGACTAGTAGGATCTTATAAGGCAAAATATTCCGTTTTTAAAGATATTTCAACAAACTCAGCATTTTCTTACTTTCTCGTTTATTTAAATAAATATTAAATATAGTGATAGGCCAACCTAACTTACAATCTTCAACAGACCTGGGTACTCGACTACTGAGAATAAAATGAAATTCACATTTTCGATAACCAATTCTGGCTTTAATCTTACATATATCTAAATAAGTAAATAGAATGTTAAGAGGAATATTGCTGGCAATTTTTGTGTGTGCGTGAATTGAAATGAAAAGAATATTTACAGCATTCATAAACAACATTTCAATGGGTCGCTGTTCGCCTGTTTGTGTAATAACTGAATATTTTATAAGATTTGCCTTTGCGTGGCGACTGCCAATTGGCAGCATTGTCAGCGTCACTCAAAGGCATCAAATGTAAGCAAGCAGCCCGGACAATGCCAGCTCGCCACATTTGACATGGCAGCCGCGCACGGTGGGGTAAAGAGGTTGGGGCAAGGGGGGACTTAATGCATGCGAGCATCAACAATGAATGTAATTCAATATGCAAATTGGCGACAACAATTTTCTACTTTTTCCGCTGTTTTCCACATAAATTGTGCACTGCCAGGCGGCTGTGCAGATTCACTTATTCTTCGGCTGCTCGCTGCCCGATTATTGTAGTTGTTATGCGGCGTTTGGGTCATGGGTTTGGGTGGCGCAATTCAATCGTTAATATTTAGCCGCTAACCAAAATCCATTTGAGTATCAACATAATTTCTCATTAGTTGGCGACAGTAAGCAGCAGCAACCGCAACTGCAACAGTTGCAGCTTCCAAATGTTGCTTGACATTGATAATTATGTTGTTGATGGATTCGAAAGTGGAGTGTGTGTAAATGAATGTGTGCGTGTGTGCGTGTGTGTGTGTGTGCGCGCGCCTGTGTGTGTGGCTCCTTTTGGTGCAACCGCAATGGCAGCATGCTGATATCCCGCTGTACCCAGTACCCAGTAATTAATTATACTCGCAGGCATTTTCAGTGAAGAGTGTAGGCTGCCTGCACTAATTGAACATGAAATGGCATTCTCCTGCATTTCCTGCATCATCAACATCATCATCGCCATTATCATCCCCTTCAAGCTAATCGTAATGACCATGGAATAGAGTCTATCTCTCTCTCTCTCTCTCTCTCTCTCTCTCTGCCTGGTTATCCCGAGGAGCGCTTTGTATGCGTCCCAAAATTCATCAGCACCAATTCTGATGTCGACTAAGTGCAGCTGACAGCACTTGAAAACTGCACAACGCACTTGAAAGCTGCATGTTGCGCCTTAGGCTTGGAAATCCTGCTCCGGCACTCGTGTCATCCATCTAAATCAGTGCAGTCCCGGGCCAAAGCAGACCCACGTCTACACACACACCCAACCGCAAGCATATGTCATATGTGTGTGTATGTGTGTGTGTGTCCTGTGGTCTTGGCTTTGGGTTTGGCTTTGGCTCTGGCCCTCACTCGGGCTCTGCCTCTAGATGTGGATCCGCATCCGAGTACAAGATTTCAAATTAAATAAGCACAAATCAAATATTTTGCAATTTCTGTCACTGCATGCCATTTCTGTGGCAGGGGCTGGGCATGTAGCAATGGAAATGGAAATGGAAATGGAAATGGGCATGGCCGGCCCAGTCGAGCTTTGACTGTTCGGTGTTGGGGCGGGGCGCTCAATTTTGGCTTCGGTTTATTGTGGGTTGTTGGGTTACTTCAGACATTGATTTATGTGGTTTTAGCGGCCCCGTTAGCCGCTGGCAGTTGTTGCACTGAGTATATTTTGTGTGTAGTTGCTTGTATGGTTTATTGGCTGAAAAATTAAGTCGGTAGTGGCAAGTGTTGAGTGTGCCGGAAGTGATGAGCCGTCGATATTACGGTTTCATGCTCTACTCTCAGATTGTTGCTTTTGATTGTGTGATTTGGGTGTGTGGGTGTGCAGTTTAAGTTCTTTGTATTAGCCAGGGTGCCAAAGTCAAGGTCTTGAGATGCATACTAACTAGCTTATCCACAGGTATAAAATTATATTAAATAGGTGATATTATTGATAAGATTTTGCACAGTATATTTTTAAATCGAATAGTGAAGTAAGAGAACTTTGGTTTGAAATTGAACTGAAGGCCTGGACGATAGCGCTCTTATTTGTGATTAACTATAGTATGATTTATAATATAACATGAATATATTATAGTAAATCTTAATAATAATAATAGGTTTAAGATTGTACAAACTAAAAATTAAGTTACATTGGCAACACATTTTTGTAATTAAAATTAGACTCTAAAAAAGTTAAATTGATGGTTAATTTAATCTTAATTTATCTGTTATCGATGCGTCCTAAAATTTCCCTATATTATATACATATATTATATTCATGGGTATTAAACAAAACTCTTGTGCCCCTTTCAAGACTTAATTATCTGTGGTATGACTTGGCATGATTACTTAAATATGATAGGATCCAATATTTTACTGTCAATATCCTCAAAACCTCACAAAATAGTTGCGAAATATCATTTTTTTAATATTGTAATGGGCTCCTTCTTAGGTAAGCTGCAAAATGCGACACAACTGATGAGTTTCAACTTGAACTTTGTCGATATTTACACATTTTATAAAATTTTAATTCAAAAACTGCTTGTCAACTATTTGCATTGAACAAGAAATTACTTAGGAATATTTAAGTGTTTCTTCTCTAAACTCTCTTTATTAAGAACATGTGTGCTTGGGAATTTGAAAATACTTCAATATAATTAAGGCAGTGTTGTACGAGCACCTCGAAAAAAGTTTTACAGCACTGGTCAACTGCAACAGCTCTTATCGATACAGTCGCAAGCAAATAATGTAATCCTAGCTTGATTGAGAATTTAAGAGCTCTAAAATAACTTTAAGAGTATAAATAAAAATTAATAATCTCTTCATTAAGTCTCGGCTGCGATAGTAAAATGCTTATTATTATTAAGATATCGTTTCATTGCTTATCGGATCGTCAAGTTGCTTTATTTATACCCACCAAAGTTTGCCATAAAGACAAACAAACAAAAATTTGATCGCTGGAATGAAATTTTGCATGATTACATCGAAAACGCTGAGCTGCGCAAAAATATTCCATAGATATGCAGCTGGAGTCTTGTGAACGAATATTGCAAATGAAGCTTTGCAGTTGAGTTCAGTTTTGTGCCAGATTTTAGCCAAGTAAGTTAGCTAATCAATAGCCGCCCCCCTACTTGGGCCAGCTGATCGTGGCATTGATTGCAAGCCAGTGGAAATGGCAGAGGCAACGTCAGCTGGTGAGTGGACGCAGAGGGGCCTGCTGACTAGCTAATTAGCCAGTGAACGAGCAAAATTATGACAAATTAAAATTCAGACGGGCAGGGCCACATAACAATGGCAGGTGGCACAGCCAACACATGCGCACACATCCGTAATTACCCATGGCCACTGCAATAACAAAAGGCAGCCAAATGGCTGAGCTGAAGCCACCAAGTGCCAGCCGGAGAGTGGCCAAAAAGGGTGACCAAACAAAAGCCCGTCGCCCATGCCATTGCCGTGGCCAGAGGTTTGGGCAAGGGTGCGTGTCGCTTGCCGTTCGTCACGGCCGTTTGTGGCTCATTGGTTCGAGCCGGGGCCGGAGCCGGGCAATTTTTCATGGCCCCATCCGTCGCACGTCCCGGGCGCCACCTCGCTGTTGGCCACGGCCCACATAAATTAACCGAAACGTATTAATTCTTTTTATTTCCCTGCCTGCCTGCCGCGCGCCGTGTCCTTTTTTTTTATATGCGTGCAAAAATTTATGCTTGAATTAAATATGATGACCAAAAAAGCAGTCGCAGCAGCCGACAATGTTGTGCCGCTCTTATTTACACATGTACAACACGGCGTATGCGCAACGTAATATACGACAGCGTGCACAATTAATCTTGCAACGTGTTTTATGTACCTTCTTTCGACGGAGACACTGCCACTACGGACACGACGCGACGCGACGCGACGCAGCCCCAACTCTGTGGCCATCATGCTGCGGCTGGGTTATAATTGAATTTTCATAGCCATTACCAGACGTCGACGATGTCCTCATCGTTCTTGTCGGCTCGGTCATTATTTAAATGTAACGACGCTTTATTATTACGGCAATCGAAAGCAAATGATTCCGGCTTTATAAATATAAATCAAATTAGAAGCAAGAAAGTGGCTGCTCAAGTTGTTGCCCAAGCAGCCACATGTTGCGCGGCCATTTGGTCAGCGTGGCGTGTGGATAATGTGCAAAGCGTTTGCTACAGCTAGGACAATATAAAACGTTCATTTATAGAGCGACAGTACGGCAGGAAGTGCCACAAGGACTACACCAAAATGACATTTAACTACACATTGAGTATGTTAATGAGCACAAACAATTTGACATGGATGCCAGCTAGGAGAGTTGATAATAAAAAGCAAATAAAGATAAAAGCAGATACTTGAATAAACCAACAAATCTACTACTTAATATCCAACAATAATCTTATGGTTATTTAAAGACATGCAAAACTTACCGTCTCAATTGAATTCAATTTAAGCTGTAAGCAAAAGGAATTTATATTAATTATAGTGCAGCTTGAATTTCGTAACAGTTCTTAAGAGTTATATTTTTTAAACATATTGTTTAACTTTTTACTATTAATTGGAATGTTTTCATGCAAATAGAATTGTCTTATATATTTTTTATATGAAATATCTATTAAGAAGTAACAAAAATATATATCACAACCAACAAATATTTGGCGCGTAATAGACTTGACTCATGACTTTTTAAATGTTGATTGATTTAATAAACTATTCTTTCGCATAGAAATTGATTAAATGTGGAATGTTTTTACAGCCATTCCTAGAGCTAGAATATAAATATAAATTAAATCAACACAGCTGAGACAGGAATTTGTAATTCACGAGGTGATTCACGGACCGCATGGCTTGCATGCCACTGATTTACCGAGCTATTTCGCGGCATTTCACAGCACTGCTCAAGCCCGTACTGTAAAAGAAAATTTCAAGACTCTCCCACAGAAACGGCTCACGCTTTCAACATATATATATTAGGTGTCATCAAAGAATTAGAAAAAGTCTTCTCTTTCAAGTGTTACCAGCTGCAAGCAGGAGTCACTTTCTTGGCGCAGTGCTGCAAAACGCTTTGAAATGCTCACAACTCGCGCCAAATATTCAAAACGCCTTTGCAGCACTGATAGCCACAACAACGCGACACTGCACAGCACTGCTTAAAAAGTTGCAACAGTAAACGCAGCTCTTCCCCAGCTTTTCATTTGGTGTTGAATGCTATACAAATATGCATATCAAAAGAAAGTATTTACTGATCTTAAGAATTCTTACTAAACATTCTGATCTTTTTCAGATTCGTTCAAAGTGGATGAGATCGTGTTTGCCCAGAAATATGGCTATATACCCTGGCCGGCCAAGCTCATAGACAAATCAAACAGTCGCAATGGCCTCGTGCAGTTCGTGTTAACCAATGATCGCCACCTAATACCCTATGGCAAAATATGGAATTACAACGAACAGAGCAAACGACAATTTGTCACAAGACAAACAATGGACTATGAGGATTTTCGTACAGCAATTTATATAGCGGAATATCTAGTACAGAAAGCCCTGGAGACAAGAACGGCGGCCGCGTCCTGCTCAAGGGTCGAGCCCAGCCAGCAGGAGCTGAACTTCTTGCAGGAGGTGCGCAAACAGCGCAGCACGCTTCACGTTGAGCCGCTTTTTATAGGACAAGTCAACAAACTGCGCAGCAGCCTAACCCAGCGCCAACAGAACTATGCAGCCGCACAGCTGGCATTCCAGGAGCTGCTCGAACTGCCCATTAGCCAGCTGTTGCTCGTACGCAACCAGGAGGCGGTGGAGTCCATAAGGCTGCTCTGTCGCTTTGTCAACTGTGCGCCTGCAAATCCGGCTGATCCGGCGCTGGTGCGAGAGCTGGCCGGTCGGCTAATTAGGCGCTTTGCAAACGTCTTTACGCAACCCTTTACCATGCCGGACTTCTGGTGCGAATACTGCATGCTGGCTGGCATTTATAGACGCCATACGGTGGAAATTGACAATCAGTCAAAGTGACGTTAAGGCAAAGCAAATACACGTAATGTACACAAATAAATGCCTTTTGTATAAATAGCCAATCATTTCAAGATATTTGTGATTTCTTTGCAGCAGCGCAGACAACGCCACTTGCATAAGTGACAAATATGCTTTTGGGTGTGGCCCATGTCCAGGTTGTTGATGCCAGACAAACACGACAGGGCGAGATAAACAATCGATCAAAATATTAGACAAATCATCGTGTGACTGTCGTTGTACAATAAACAAAAGCCAACTGTGTTCACGCCATGACGGACTGTCGCTCAACCCCTGTGCACACACACAAACATACACAAGGACATACACGCACACACGCCTGTGAGCTGGTCAAGCAAACAAAATTTCACTTTGCCCAGCCTCGACGCGAGCTGGACAGCCAAAAGGCAACAGCAAAGGCAAATTCAATTTGAGCTGTCAAAAATCTAACCAATATTGGCTGCGTGTGCATGTGTGTGTGTGTGTGCGCGCGTGTGTATGTGCTTTTGGGAGGCGTGGCTGTGAATACTATCGTCGAGCACAATCGATTGAAAACATAAATGAAATTGACAGCCAGCATGCCAGGTGACCAGCCAACGCAAGTGCGCCTCCACGCACGGCTCCCTTATGTCATAGCTAGCCCTTTGATGTTGCCGACAGAGCCGCATTTATGGCATTGTTGAGAAGGGGAGGGGGGTAGCGCATCTGGGCAAAAGGTGTTCATGTGTAAGTAAAGCATCAAATTAATTTGACATTTGCTTTGGCAGTGCCATCTGAACGGACGAGTCGAGTTTGAAGGTTTTACAGGCCATCAATGCCAGTGGCCATTGTCAACAGTCACCATTGATAATGATATGTAGCATAGGGTAGCGGTTAGGTGTGTGTGGGTGTAGGTATGTGTGTAGGCATCTGTGTGACTTTTGATTGCAGCATATGCTACACCTGCTCTAACTTAAAGTATCCAGCTATTTGGCTTATTGACACTTGGCCAATGTACGACGAGGCAGAGGCAAAGCTTTTAAAGAAATTAGCGCAAATCGAGGACCTATTTGATTCTTAGTATACAAAATTCCCCGTTGTCTTGGCCAACTGAACTAGCAACATTAATGCTCAAAAAATTTTTTTAATTTACCTAAAATGTTGCTAACACACCGCCATACCGACCATTAACATAGCCAAAATACAAACAACAAAAATAATAATATGGCAAATGGGCAACGGGGCGTGGTGCGAGGGGCAATCACGGACAACATTGCCGGCAACTCGGAGCGAGGTGGATCACAGTGGTTGCATAGCACTTTATTTGCCTGAAGATACAATTGCTATCGCCTTTTTATCCCGCTGTTATCTTCCAAATGAAACCATTTTCTAATTCTTGGATCTTATAAAAAGTGTTGCACTTTGGATTTAGAAAAGAATGCCTTAAAACGTGTATTACCCGGAAAAAAATAAAACACAATTGTTTTCTCTATTTCTTCTTAAGGCAAAATATGTGATTTTTTCTTATATTACGACAAGTTCGCTTCTTGGAAAGTAAAAAGCAATTTCAATGTATATTAATTTTATACTTTTTATATTTTGGGAAATAAGAATGCTCGATCATATAAACAAGCCTGAAATCCAAACTAAGGCTACATAAGTAGTTGGTTTGAAGTTCGAACCATTTGGCGAAGTTCGAACCGTGAGCCGAAGTTCGAACCGAAAGCCGAACACTTTTGGTTTGGGTTTGCAGCCATTTTGTGTTTTAACTATAATATATATTGATCTTATCGAAAATAAGATAATAAAATGTGATATCACTTGTTACTTATTAATAAATAGTTTTTTTTTTTTGCTTTTCCATCAGTCTAGTTATAAAGCCTCACTCAATTAAATTTAAAATTTATTGAAAGCAGTAATAGTAAAAGATGTTGGGCAGGTGCATCTATCTATCTAGGTAATATTTAGTTTTTATTCAATTTACATTCATATTTAACAAAGTATTATACATATTGCTTTTTCAACCACTGTGCGTAACAGCTATTATGTCATACGCACCGCTACTTAGTGGCGGATTTTGTTTTTATAGCAAACGTTCTTACCAGGAGGGCTACTTCTGGGACTGCATTAAGTCCCTGGAGCTGTTTGAAGTTCTTTGAATTTCGTGAATAGGTGTGTTGCCGACATAACGAGCGCTCGACAGCGTAATAGAAGTTATGTACTTATGCACACATAGATATATTTAAATGTATTACTAATTTTATTAGGTTTTCCACTTACCACTCTAATGAATTGATTTTGTTTTCTTCTCTTGGTATTTTATTTTATTTATTTTTTAGTCAACAAATAAACGGACTGCTGGGTCAGTGAGTGTTATTTATGTGCCAGCGCCTGATGCTTATCTCAACTGTAGCAGCGAGTCGGGCTTATCGCCAGCTCATGATGTTTTTTGGCCAAACAAAAACAAACAACTGGCAGCAAACCTTTTGATAAGGCAACAACGGCAATAACAACTGTTGACGTGCAGCTGTGATTTATTTTGCTTTAAAAGCACATTTTAAAGTGCCCAGACGTTAAAAGAACTAACCCACACACACACACTCATAAGCACGCCGCAAATTCTGCTGACTTTTATGTGAGCTCATAAAATTTTTTTTGGAAAATTCTGGGTTCATATTTGCGCTGGCATATATGTATATATATTTTTTTATACTAATTAAAAATTGTATATTTATCAAAGTTAGAGCGTCACAGGCAAAAAAGCAATTTGCCGAAATAACCGAGGAAACTAAAAACACATGCGGCAAGCGAACGCATATGCACAACGCACACACACACACACACACACATGATCCCACACACACCCCAAATACGCATATACTCGAATTTTTGCGGGCAGAAAGATTTTGTTGACAGAACTTTACAATAAAACGAAAGTTTAATGCACAAGTTTGCGGGGCTTAGCTTTGAGGATGCAGCCCCCTCCCCCCCCTCTAGCCAGCGGTGTTGGTGGCCTGTTTGCGCAACTTACAGCCAAAGTAAACTCATTACCAATGCAAACAAACAGGCGGTGAAACTTTTAAAAACCGCCCAGAAACTATTTGCTGGCGCAGGCCCCGAATGTAGCCAAATGAAAATGATTATAAAGCGAATATGTGTATATAAAAAAGTATTAAAAAATAAAATAATAATAATTAAGTGCTCGCATTGCAATGCAAAAGGCATATGAAGCATACGCCATGTGGCACGTGGTACGTGGCATTTTATCTAGCTGCACATTCGGAACTTTTGTATACTTTTATTTAATTTGCTAGTGACCAAAACATTTTGCAAATATTTCAAATCCACACACCAGCATATTTGTCCGGCATGCCCCATAAAACCAAATGCAAATAGTTGCTCTGCGGCTGCGCTGTCTTTATTGATCAAATTGCTTTATTGATGAATTAATTTTAATTAGTTTACATTTGGCTGCTGCCGTGTCGCAGTTAATTTACATGTGCTTCGCAAAATGAACAACAATTACAGGCAGAGCTCTGGATTATATTAATTAAATAAGTTATTTTATTTGTTTCATGTTTGTCCAACAAAATTACAAAAGTTTTTGTTTACCCACAGCGTCAGCGAAACTCGAAAACATATTTAATAGCCTTTACAAACATGCTCAGGGTATATCTAACCATGTCATCAGATTGGTAGCACAATAAAAAAACAATCTCTATATAATTATTTTATTTGCTTCCTAAGCTAAACTCTAATCAGGATTAATTCTTTAATGTTAAAATCAATAATAAAAAATAAATAAAAAATTGAATTACAATAAATGTATACGTATATAGGACTTGTAAGGAGTTTAGCTATATATTATACTAACGGATATACCCCGGCCTTGCCCGTGGCACGTATAAAGTAAATTCTCTCAAAGATATTTGAAAATGGTAAACAAAAAACTTTCATACATCCGGTTTCCGCCAATTTATCAATGTTGCGGGTGAAATTTTCCAAATCGCTAAAACACGTATTCATTAAGTTCTGATGTAGAGCTTTGAAAATAAGTTTGAAGCAAATGACTTTTCATATAGATTCTTGGAAATGAATTTGAGTGCGAAACGTCACCCACCAAAACTTTGAACCCCATTTTCACCAAGGAAGAATGTTTTTTTCGAAAAGTGTGAAACACCCCTTAAATGAGTTTGAACAAGGATCTCTGAAGATGACTTTGAGGCCGATCGGATGGTAAACAAAAAAGTTTCATACAAACGTTTCTCGCGATTTTTCCTCACATGCGGGTGGAATATTCCGAACTCCTAGCTCTTACGGTTTGGGCTGTGCATTGATCACGAATCCGTCAGTCAGTCACGAGAAACAGCTTTATATATAGAGATTTAACCATAAGATTCTTGTACTATAAAAATAATAGGATGTGAACTGATTGCTAAATCCTTATGCCTCATATAATGAATATAGGAATAGGAATATAATTTTCTAATAATAACAAATTAGTTATCTCTGTTAACGTCCACATTTCTCATTGTTATTCTAACAGATGTGCATAAATTTTTTCTTGTGTTCATTTTTTTTTATTGTTAACATCGATATCGCAGTTGTTAGTACAAAATGTTAGTTTTGTAGCCATTTTTGTGGGTCGTTTTTCATAGCGTGTAATATGTAATTAAAATGTGGCAGAACACATCAGGGGAATGACCGCATTTCCGCTGCTGCTGCCTCTGCTGCTGCTGATGTTATTTCAACTGCAAGGGCACTCATTAACCGCAAGGTAATAATTAATTGAGGCATGTATTACAAGTGGCACGGGCAGCAGAGCAGCAGCTTGGTTGCATGTAATGGTCAGACAGATACTGCCTGTTAATTTATTAATAAATTTGATTAATGCACTAATGTTGATCAAGTATACGACAAGTGGAACGACGGGCATTCAGCAGAGTGCATTTACAAACCTCAAGCTGAACCAGATAATAACGTTAACTTTACTGCTTAACAAATAATGCGATTAGCGTCAAGTTGGTTCAGGTCCTTGCAAAAGTTAGCACTGCGCAAAGGTTGGGATAACTCTGTTGTTGTTGTTTGATGAGATGGTGGCAGTAAGAGGGGGGGGGGGGGGTGGTGGATTAAATAGCAAGTTTAGCCAATGACCACGAAATCACAAATCCCTGGATCACTCACAGCAGCCACTCAGTAGCTCTCTAGTTTCGCTAGACCAATTAAGAACGCATTGCATACCAACCGCCCGACGGCCCGGGCGCATTAACTGCAGCTGAGTGCATTTCATTTAAATGAATTACAAACGAAATATGAATGCCACTTGGCTTCACCACACAAAAGCACGATTACGCGGGCGTGCCCAAGTCAACGACCGTGACCGTACCCGGGATTTGCTCAATGCTCATTAAGCAGCAGCCGCATGTACGCCAAATGTTAATCAGTTTTTCCATTCTATTTGCAAGTGGAGTGCCAAAGCGCAAATCACAAAACACAACACAGCGCTCAGAAATTGGTAATTAATGCTTTACAGCGTGGTGCAGGGTGGTGCAGGGTGGTGCAGGGTGGTGCTCAGCTGCGCTGATGATGATGGGGCACACGGACACAAGGAGCTGCTCAAAGGCAAAAACCAGGTTTTTTTTTTTGTATGTGGTGCTTTGATGCCATGTTAATTTGAATGAATTTAATTAATTAGCGTTAAAAACCAAACTGACGAAAATGTGCGGTAATATTTGTAGCTGCCCGACCGTCCCTTGCTGAGACAACCGATGACGCGGCGAGCAGCCTTAATAAGTCGCCATGACCATCTGGTGTGGCAGGCAACGGACTTGGCCAATTTGGGGCTTAAGCTTAGGCAGCTCGATATTGAAACAATTATGCCAAATATTATTGTGCCGCATGATGACGTTGACGCTGACATTGCCACAGCTGCTAATGACGTTCCGGCTCTAAGCTGTTAAGCGGATATTCGATTCCGTATTATATACATACACATTTACAATACATTTGTATCTATGTATGTTGCAAATTAGTAGGCTCAGTCGTGTATACGCAATACATATATTTTAATTAAAAATTGATTGGCGCATTTGCATTTTATTTATGAATTTATTTCAACACGCACAATTGAGCAGCTTAACTGGCCGCAGCGTAAAGCATAGATTAATTACGATAATTTTTGATAACTACGGAGCAGGCACATTAAGCTTGCCAATTAAGTCCACACAATCATATATAAAAATATATACAATCTTCGAAGGAGAATATTAAGACAAAAGGGAGGTTTACGTAGAAATAAGGCCACTTGGCAACAACGGGAGGAGCACTAAAAAATTTGCCTAGTTTTTAAATAGATTGAAATACCTTTTTCTATCCTCCTGTAATTATTATAAAATTCAAAAATGTATTATATTATAATCATAATAAATTATAAGAATGTATTATGACATTTTAATAATTTATTATAATTAAATATATATTTAATTTAACATGAATTAATCAAACACAACTTATAAGTTTGTCAGAAATGAAGGCTTATCTAGTGAAACTTGATATTATTTTATTAAAATTGCAAAAATGTTTAGTAATTATTTTAAATTAAATTTTTTCATGCAATATTTATTTAATATTTCAATTATCCTGTAGTTTGGTGTATTAAAATGAATAAAAGTAAGGATAAAAATGATAAGGAGAAAAATACAAATAATATATAATTTTTGATTAACAAACATGTATAATTTACTTATATAAGTTTTTATACAAAAAAATTCATTTTAACAGCTTTTTGTGCATATAAATTAAAAGTAAATAAATGCAAAAAATGCAAGGCTGAAAGAAATAATAGCATTAATACTATGTTATACAGCTATTAATTTATTCCAAAAAATTAACGAGCTATGACAATCGATTGTATGGAATGAATTGTATAAGTGTTCTATTATTGTACAAAATAATGGCTTTAATATATATGACAGTAAGTGATTAAATTTGTAAATACTTTCAAATTGATTGCATAAAAGAAATCTCAGTATTTTTTGACAGAAGGGCAACTGCCACATGTCAAATTTATTATTCAAATATTAATATCGAAGTCGCACTTCTGCAATTGACTTTTTAATTTGCCTGCAAGCGTTTCAATTTCAATTAAAACTTATATCATTTTAAAATATTGTCACATTTTTATTTTTCGCCAAGGGGCCGAAAACAGAGTGTCATGCCAATATAAAGAAAAATAAATATAAATGTAAATACATATTTTTTTCAAGTAAAATGTAACTATTGAGCACCAATAGTAGAACGCAGTTTGATATTGGTACAGCGGGAATACGAAGGCTGCATAACAAGAGTCATATTCAGTTCGACAAGTGAAACAATAAAGCTAAAAATCGATAGACAATATTTTGTAGAGCTTTGTGTCATATCTAAATTGTATATATAAATATATATGCATGTGTACACTATGCTTGTGTGTATAAACAATGTTTGTGCATCAAAAAAAGCTGTCTTCTAACTGGCGCAGATTTGATACTCTTGCAGAGTTGCGGTATATATACAGAAAAATTATTTTTGTCTGACATATATAAAAGTCTCTCCAATAATGAGATGTTGCTTTTTATTGGGACTTTCTTTACTTAAATTAAATTGCCAATAGAGTTGTATATATTTTGAGCTTAAATGTTTTTTTTTCTAGGTCTTTGGGTTTTATGGTATGATGTGGCAGGAATTAAGTAAAGTTTTCA